ACATACATTGAACAACATGAGTTTCCTAAATTTCCTACAAGAAGAACTTCCTGCACTTCTGGAGAATGTGCCTTTGCAGCTATGGAGGATTCTATAGTTTCAGCACGACGGGGCTCGACTCGACAAGGCCAGGATTGTGCAGCAATATTTAGATAACACTTGCCCAGAAAAATGGATTGGGCTTAATAAACCTATTCAGTGGCCCGGAAAGTGCTGATAACTTTTAAACTAATTTTCATGTCAATAATCGACAAAACACACTCTTAGTCAAAGTCAAAGCAAAAATAGAAAAATAAACAAATGATAAAGAACAAAGAAAACTCTATACGACTCCTAACAACAAGAAAAAAAGTGTGGTGGTAGGAAAATGTTATGTCGAACCGATACTCCTCTCTGAATCGAGCAAACTTTATCCGAAAATTTTTTCCTAAAAATGTTGCATTTCAGAAATATTTACTACCTATCGGATACTTGAAAATTTAAAAGTTACCCATCTCCGCTCGCTAGGGTTGGCGAGGGTGAAAAATATATGCTCAAATGATATTCTTCTATGTATAGAGCAGATTTCGTCTAAAGTATCTAACAAGAAGTTTGCAAGTCGCATTTAAATTTTGACTACGGGATTGTTTTCAGCTCCTTAAAATACGTCAGAAATGATATTATGTAGAGCAAAATCAATTTTCGACTATGATGATGATTTTTGGAAGCATTTTCACCCTAAACATAGATTTTACAAATACGTCGGAAATGATATGTCAGATCTTTAAGTGTGACCTTCTTTTATCGATTATTGGCATCTAAATGAGTAGCACCATTGTATAAGTCTTATACAATGGTAGCACTACCGGAGTCTACACCTTCGCACTCGAGTTTTTTTGAGTGCCTGTGTGCCGTTACCTAATTCTGGATTATATCGATTCTATTGGATTTCTATTGCCCCTTCTCTCAGCAGAAAGAAACCGTGATATTAGTTGCGTCTATCGAGTGGTCTGTGTCTGCCTCATGCTCTGTAATTAATGAATTTTCTGTCTAGTTATTCTGCAAGTGAGACTCCTTTAACCTTGTGTTCTCTAGTTTATCCAATGTATAAAATGATAAATACATTGCAGCCTTGGACCTTTCTTGAGGTATTGTAGATGGTATTATCATTGGATTTTCCTAAAACTTCTCATCACATCCTTGTATATAGGATCTTTAGGTATCCTTCTTGAGGCCCGGTCAATATTGCTGTTCGTGTATCTATGTATTTCCTCTAAGAGCAGATCTTATGTACTGTAATGTTTTTGAGATGGATGGTGATGAAACTCAGCGTTCTAATATTTATCCATAGAGGATAGCTTTCTGTAAACATTTCTCTAGATTACTATTCAGTTTCTCTTGACAATGATGTCTAGGATTAACAGGGTACTATTTTGTTCCCTCTCTATAGTCAAGTTAATGTCTGAATATATTCCATTTATGACTAGATGATAAATGTTCATCAAAATTCCTTAACTAACACTTCCCCTTGAATTCCATGACTTTCTTCTCGAAGGCTTCTTTGTAAATGTTTGCCAAAGCTGGGGATAAAGGTGAACACATAGCTGTTCCCATAATTTGTTCATAAAACTGTTGTCCTTTAGCAGCACGCTTTTGCGAATCCTCACCCTTATCTTCTGTGATGAGTATTCTATGAAATTCTTCCAAATGATATTGAACTGAATCTTTTGTGAACAATGGTATTACGTCACAACTCACTAGGATATCATCTGGATCTAGTTGGATTCTATGTGCAAACAATATTCTAATGAAGAAAATGGTACATACTCGTAGATGTCGGATAGTCCAGAAACAAGGTATTCTCAACACATTAGTATACAGGGTATCCCGAAATTAGGTGGCAATATTTCTACAGTCTATGTCGAAAAAGATTACTTTTTCTTTATATAAACGTGAGTCTAAAAATTCTTCCTTCCTAAGGAAGTTATAGCCACTTAAAGGAGCCACTCTGATGATGGTTTTTTCTAAATAACTCCGAAACCAGTTGTGATAAATTTATGAAATTATTCTTGGTTCAAATTAGTAGAATGTTCCATTTTTGTGTAAAATAAGTTTAAAAACAATGTTACATGTGTTAAACACCGAGAATCGAAATTGTCAATATTTTCTACCATCGCAGCTTTTGAATAAGAAAAATGCGTTTGGCGTCATTTGCATTGGCAGTTCAGTTATTTACTTTTTGCGAATTGTTATCAGTAGAAAACATTTTACAAATTTAGAGATAGCAGATAATCATAATACCCATTCCTGGTCAGACGAAAAATCCACGGGCAACACGGCGCACAAATTTTGAAAATAATTTTGCAATAAATGTGTGGACATGAATTTTAGAGGACCAGCTACTGGACTAATTCAGTTTCCCGTTTGTCTGAATGCCGAAGGATACTTAAATTTTGTGTAAAATGATGTAAGAGAACTATTTACACCGTTAAAAATTACTATTGAGATAAAGATAAGTTTTCAATTATTTTTATTAGTTTATTGTATTACTATTTAATAATTTCAATTGTTTTTTTTTTACTTAGTCAAATAATAATTTACTAAAAATAATAAATTGCTGTGAAAATAATAATTCGCAAAAAGTAATTAACTGAACTGTCAATGCAAATGACGCTAAACGCGTTTTTGTTTTTCACAATTCGGTACGATAGAAAATATTGACAATTTCGATTCCCGGTGATTAACACATGTAACATTATTTTTAAACGGATTTTACACAAAAATGGAAGATTCTACCAATATGGACCAAGAGGACCTTTTTTTACTAAAAAACTCATACTGAAATTTCATACTTTTCAGTCAAAAGTCAAAAATGTTAAAGCATAAAAAAGTTATGGTAAATTTTACCCCCCTCCCCCCAGATTTGGAACTTATGTGATGAAAATTTGTAAATTTCGTTTCAGTAGCGGACTAAGTACGTAAGAGTTAAGCTAGTTACAAAATTTCATAAATTTATCTTAACTGGTTTTTAGAAAAAAACCTTTAAGTTGCTGTAACTTCCTTAGGAAGAATTTTTGGACCCACGTTTATATAAAAAGTAATCTTTTTGACATAGAACACACTGTAGAAATATTGCCTCCTAATTTCGGGACACTCTGTATACAGGGTGTAACCTTTAAGTGAGGGGTCAGTTTTTTACGAGCAATAGTATGTTTCCCTTAATACGAATCTGAAATTATTTTTTTTTTAATTAAATAAATACTCGAGTTATAATTACTTTTTTAAACTGTGCTTTAATTCTTGTGTACGCCGCCACTGACCTGAAGTTGTATTCCTCACTGCCAGCGTTGCCAGTGGCTTACCAACTACATTGTGCGAAGTTAACAAATAATTTAGCAAATTGTTTTTGTATAAATTTACGGACTTGTTATTTTAAAATCATCACATTTTTTTATATCATTGTGGTAGAAGAGCCGAACTTGTAAAAAAATCTGTTTCTAAGTAAAAATAGATTTACATGATTTATTAAATATTAACTAATATTGGTACGTAAATACGTTACTAATTGCAAATACATATATTTCTTTTAATCAACTGCCACACAGAGAAACTAATGAAAAATTGTTTTTAATTTTTTTTATTTTTACATGATTTATTATTTATTTATTGGTATGTAAAAATATGCTATTAATTGTAAATGAAACTAATTTTAAAATACTTATTTTTGCTGCTTAAAAAAATTAACAATAAAAAATAAATGAAAATACTAATTTGATTAATGTGAAAACAGCTTTTAATCGCTTCAAGTATTTACAAACATTTATGTATTACTGTTATTTTAAGCAACGCATATTTTACTTTGGAATGTCAGTCTCAATGACCTGTAACACTGACCTAAAGTTGACGCGTATGTAAGAAATACCCTTACGTAGGGGGGGAGGTGCAACGGATGAAAGCCTCCTTGTTCTGTTTACATGTCAATGTTGCAGGTGTTCTGATATGACGAGTAAACTCGTTAAAAACAAACTGCCACGTTAATTCGGAGGAACGGGATTGTCCAAATATATCGTTCTCATTTAGTTTCCGACTATATCATTCTGTGAAAAGCTGTTCTCATATAGTACCCTTGTTTGGTGTAAATGTATAACATTATAAAGTTATTTATTTTAGTGTTTAGTGACGGTACAGTGTATTGTGTTTTATTTTTTCAAGTTTGCAAGTGATATTATGAAAATGCATCAAGAAAGAGCTGATATGATTCTACTGCAAGAAGACGATATCAGATGGATTATCCCAAAGAGCAATATCTCACGGCGGGTGATACGAAATTTGCTTTTTAATAATCTTTTCGTTAGATTATGAGATTTGGCAACTATGCACAGCCCAGTCGTCAGTTGTGCATGCGCTGCGACTAACAAGCGCCGTTGTTTGAGATCATACTAGCTTGTCCAGAGGCGGAGTAGCAAAATTATTTAAAAAAGATTTAAAAAAAGTTTTCAAGACGGAATTTGAAAAATAAACTATTGATACGTGTTTCTAAAGGTCAAAGGTAGCCTCTGTGTAATTATGACCCCCACTTAAAGTTATACCCTATATACACTATACACTGCTTCCAGTAAAAAGGAATACCTGTATAACTTCATTTGATGAGATTTTATGCCTTTTAAATTAATTTGAGTTAATTTAATGCCTTTAAAGTAAACTTATTTAGATCAAAGGAATATTTAATTTCTAAAATCGATGAACTTGTAGTTCAACCTTTGAACTGTTAACTTTTGATGAAAATTTTATATTAAAATATTGTTTATTTTGAAACCCTTTACGGAAAGAGGCAATCTTAAAATAGCGATATACTCTACCGCAGATCTGTTACTGTTATTGTCAACACTGTCTGAGTGCCTGTCTGAGGAGTTTACGACCCCTGTTTTAATTAACTAACTCTGTAAGAAACCTCATAGGGAAACAAATTATGAAAAGCAAACAAACCACCTGACAAATTACCGAACTTCCTGGCTGCTCACCTCAAGACCCTGTCGCTGTTATCAAACTTGCTCACATGCTCCTTGTAATGAAAATTGGCTTGCCTGACGGCAATTAGGGCGTGCTTTCCCGGGGGAACGTTCCGCTCCCGAACTCTGTAGTGGCAGCTGACGTTCCTGGGATATATCCCCGGGTAGTTGGGGGACTGGATGCGGCACAACCTTCTGGAGCAGCCTTCCAGCAGTCGGTCGCAGTATGAGCCACTGCTTAACTTGCCTCTGAAAACACAATAGATACTGTACATAAATAGTTTAAAAGAACAACTAAGAAAAATAATATTCTGAGTATATCAACAAACACGCAATGTATAGTTTTTCCGATACCAATTGAAGAACCAACATATTGATGGTATGTACCAGGTTCCGCCGCTGACGCAGCAACTCGACTTTGAAATATTTGAAAATCTTGTTCCCGTATTTATTTAGCCATACCCATATACAGGTCTGGTCGAACTAAACGTGGAGGCGATAGAAATGTATACGCTCAGTTGAAGAATGTGGGCGCTGGCAAAGGAAAACGATTACAGTTGCATTGGGCTACTGGGCAATAAATCACAACAGATGACAAGTGGTTGATAAATTGCCCAGCAGTGCAGTGCAGCAATGCGGAATTTGGTGTGATTCAGGTAATTCTAATTTATTATAGGCACCTTCTATGAATCATTCATATTACAATTGCGAAAGGGAGAAATAAGAGGAATATTTTATTTACTAATATTATCACAACATGGCATTTTGGAGAACTTTTGAAACGGAACAAAACGAAATTTACCACCAATATAATAAAATTGAGGACATAAATAATTAAAATATGTTGTTGGCCAAATGTACATATAATAGAAATTTTGTACACATTATATACACATTATTATAATTTTTTACCTTTAGCTAAGCAGAAAATTTTTTTAGGGAAGCCTATGAAGCTCATAAATTTTATTACCAGACGTTTTTTGCATGTACAACTGACTTCGGAAACACTATAACCTTGCTTGGTTTATTAAATTTTCTTGCATTTCGAAGAAATAAACTAAACTTTTGCTTTTTTTAAATCTATATTTTGACTTCGTTTTTAAAATAATGCATTAATATTCTCAATTACAATTTTTTTACTTGTAAAACTTATAAATTGTAACTATAACATTTTCAATAAAAAACCATTCATTTACATTCATCCTACAGGCACAGTTTTATCTAACAGAAACCATCAGTAATTTAAACGACTTCAATTATTTGAAATTGGCAGATAAAAACATGGCGTCTTCTACAAGCAAGTTAACGAATCGTCGGTATCATTACGTACCCACGCGTCTAACAAATCTAATTTGTTCAATTCAACCTTCTTGACATTCGCCTTATCGTTATCGAAAACTTTTTTGCTTACGCTAATTGGCTCCCCCCTAATTGCCTGCCTCTTGGGAACTAGAAGCTGGTTTTGCTCTTTCTTAATTTGTGCCTTTTGTATAAAAATTAATTAAAGATTACTTGGAAATAATAAATCGGTATATTATTAATTAGGAATACACTTCAATGGTTTATTTTTACACAACATTGCATTTGCTTTAACTTTCTAGTAACTTCTACTAACTTCAATTTTTTTATTTTACTGATTTAATTTTGAGAAATAAATTTTTAAAAAAATACTTGAAAAAAAGCTAAATACTTAAATAGTGCAACAATATTAAATGCGCAATAAACAGGGGTTCGACTGCAAACTTTAGCAGGACGTTCTTTGGTCAAAATTAACAAGAAAAAAAGAATCAAATGAAGTAGTAGTTAATTCCGACTCCTTAAGAAGATGTAGCAACTTGAAGATCATATATTCAATATATTCTACACGAAGTGGGAGACAAGATCATGGTATCTATATATTTTTGCCGTCGCTGAATCCGAATCTGGTGTCTGTTTGACCCAATCAGATCTGAGTTAAGGTCTGTTCAAGGTTAAATGTTGAAAATCAATTGCTAACAAAGCAAACTTACATATTTATAAGTTTCTGGGGTCGATGAATGTGAATCCGGTGTCCAATTGACCTGATCAGGTCTGGGTTACAGTCAGTTCAAAGTCAAATGTAGACAATCAATTGCCAATAAAGTAAACCTATAGTTTTTGGAGTCTGAATTCGAATCCGGGGTTAGTTTCAACCGATCAAGTTGTTAGATACTCAAGTTCTAAACTCAAAATATTTAAATTAAGCATATATGCGTATTAAAGTTACTAAACCTGAACCCTGAACAATTGCCTCCTATACTGTGGTTCCAAATCCCTGCATCTTAACAGGTTCTCCTGTGTCTACCGTGATGGCACAAATGCCTTCACCCAGCAGATACTAGGTGATCAAGATTTCTTCGATAAGTCAAAGAAAATATACTCCGACGATGCAAGAATCGAAGAAAAATCAACAAATGAAAGATGCCTATTAAAATTTGTTTGGTTTTGATTCCCAATTTGTTTGTGTTTGTGGAGCAGGGAGAAAGATTTCACCAAGATATGAAGGAAGAAGAAAAAAATCTAGGTAACAACGAAAGTATCGCTAATAGTGCTAGTGATATTAGTGATGACGAATATAGTCCACATCACGTTGTGAAAAAGACAGGAACAATATTCCAAGAAAAATTAAATAATCTTGTTCAAGATTTGGGCCTGGTAAAGGATAGAGCAGACATGGCTAAAAAATACTAAGTAGGCCAGAAAAGTGAAAGCTTCTTACTTTCGGGACAGATATAAGGAATTTCCTAAATATTTCTCTAACGATGAAAAATTCTCCTTAGTTTACTGCAATGATATCGTTGGATTGATGAATCACTTCAAACATGGATGTCATAAACCTAACGAGTGGAAGCTGTTCATTGATTCTTCATAGAGATTCTACTGCATAATACAAATGTTTATACAGCCACACTTGTAGCAAATTTGGTGATATTGAAAGATATGGATAGTCTTAGATAGGATCAAATACGAATAACATAAATGGCAAAGTGTGGACCTCGGGAAATCGGGATTCACAAAAACCCCTTGTTTTTTATGTGAATGGGATAGTCGGGATCGAAAAAACCATTACATGAAGAGTGTCTGGCCTCCTAGAGAAACAAAGGTCGTCAATGCCTTATATATCTCGGAGATCAATTCACTAATTTAAGTGATTTGCTGGAGGAGATTTTTGATGGACCTCAGATCCGTAAGATATTAAAGGATCACATTTTTGTTACTAAAATGAGTGAAAACGAGAAAGCAGCATAATTATGTTTTAAGGACCTAATCAAAAATTTTCTAGGAAATCGAAAGAGTCCAAACTATAAAGAAATACTGTCGAATGTGAATGTGCTTAATGAATCCCAAATTACATTTTTTACATTGTCACGTGGATTACTTCTCAGAAAATTTGGGTGACAACAGTGAGGAGCGGGGAAAAAATGTCACCAAAATATTAAGGAAATGGTACCAAGGCAGACGGGATATAAACGTGTTAGCCGATTACTGCTAGTCGCTAAAATGAGATTTACCATTGAAATCTAGAACATGTAAAAGAAATCCACTTCGCAGATCTTTTTACAACAAAATAGTTCAATACCACAAAAGTGAATAGTAATCACGATACCATAATAGTGAGATATAGTGATTGCATGTGTTTCATCAAGGTAAAAAACGTCTTATCTTGAAAAACTGTTCTCAAGAATCTCAGTCGAGACTCACTACATACATACATGCAGCATTAACCGACACATTGGTACAAAACTTACTTACCTAGGTTTTTTGGTACTTGGTCGAAACAATTAACATTCATTGAGTTTAGAACTTAAGAGTATTTGGTAAACCGGACCGGGTCAAATGGACACCGGATTCGGATTCAACGACCAAAAATGTATAGATATATAGGTTTACTTTGTTGACAACTGATTCTCTACATTTCACCTTGAACTGACCTTAACTCAGACCTGATCAGGTCAAACAAATACACAAGTTTTACCTTACTATAAAGGTATTAAGCTAATATAATAAATCATATGAATAATTTTGTTTAATTCATTTTTAAGCTTGAATAAGCTTGGTAATGAGGCGTTTGAGAACCCTGGTTCTTTCTAGTTATTTTCATCTTATTAACTTGGTACTATTCTAAACGTGTGAAATTTGAATGTGAAATTAAAGTACCAAATTGGCGGAAGAAAATTTCTAAATAAAATTTTGAAAAATTGGCCGGAAGCTTGCGACTTTCGATGAAAAAGTCTATAATGATGAAGTGGAGATGGAGGGTCTATTTATATGTTTTACTTTTCACGTACGTAAAGATTAAATAAATTTATTTCTATGTGAGACGAAGGGAAGAAGAACAAAACTATCTTGAGAAACTTCAATAAAGGACGTTTCAATTTATGTCTCCTTACAGCTGCCTAGGAACGAACGACGTCGATCTCTTATAAAAAGATTTGTCTTACGCTCTATCCCGATTTGTTTTTTAATATCAAAGCCGAGACCGTTTTGTTGAAATTCATTAGTACATGTACCTACCTCTAAGAACTGAATGCCTATTTATTAAAGTGCTGTTTACGAGCTTGAAGTGCATTTATATTCTATTCTTTGAACTTTAAATCAAAAGTTGTAGAAGATGTAACGCTTTTAGAGTTCATTTGAATAAATATGGAGACAATGGCTTAAAATTCATGAACCGAGTCGTCTGCTGTCGGGGCATTGTTGAGAACTTTTACAAATTCCGGATTTTTCTTTGAGAAGTATTGAAATTACATGCACTTGTACTTTTAAATAGTGAATATTTAGCAAAAACGAGTATTTACAGCTAAAAATGTTTAAATAAACCTTTCTGCAATTTTTATTATTTTACATTTAGGAATATTTTTTTCGATTTTAGAATCGTGCTTATAACAATCTAAGAAAATAGTTTCCTTTCATGTTTGTGACATATCCGTTAATTTATTTTACGGTAATGTTAATTATGCTAAAATTAGGATTTTTTACTATGCTTCTTGAGAATTAGGTTTTAATTTAAATTATCGTACCCTGCAAGATTTACGGTAGATATTAAATTTTTTTAATCATATCAAATGAACTCAAACAATATGTTTCGATACCAGAAATCCAGATATGCAAAAAATATCCAACTTCATAGACAATATTCGGTGGAGTTAGATTCCTAGATTTCTGATATACAAGGTGTCCCGAAAGATCAAGTCAAAAATGAACAGGTGTACAGGGGAGCTCAAAATAGTTGTAGTACTTCATAAAAA